TGGAAAGCTAAAAGCTTTTAGCTCGGTTGGAAGGTTAAAAGTTTTTTTAGCCCGGTTGGAAGGCTAAAGTTTCTTAGCTCAGTTGGAAGGCTCAAGTTTTTTAGCTCAGCTGATAAACAGGTAATCCCTATCATGCTGCGCAGATGGAATTAAAGGGAAATTGAGAGGGTAATTTATATGTAAATTGAGCCGAGCCGGGTAATGGGCCGTTGTAGGCCACAGTAAAAGGGCTTGGAGATAACTCGGTCCATAAGAGCTTTACAAGTAGCTCGATCACCACACGCAGAGTTAGCTCAATCGTGGCATATTACAGTTAGCTCGGCCAGAACCTTGCTATTTGTTAGCACGGTCTAAGCACGCTATGGTTGGTCCGGTTTGTACAGGAGAAATCGAGGTAAGAGCAGTGAAAGGAAGAGCCGAACTAGGTATAGTTCGGTCTACTCTGCGGATTAGCATAGCCATGCTTACCTCGGTCATATTGGAATCCGACCATAGTAAAACCATCTCACTTGGTTTAAGTAGTGAGGGAGGTATTGAAGGATAAGCATTATCTTTCAAGAGTATGACTCCTAGGAGGACTCTACTTGGAAGAGTAAAAGTTCTACTAGGATTGTGCCACGCGAAACCTATAAAAGCTCACAACATCACTTATGGAGAGGTAACACACAACTTTGATTCCCGAATATACAGAGCTTTTGTCTATTTGTCTATTTTTCTGACTTAGGCATCAGAGAGGTATCTGGCACACACCCGCCGGCTATCTCACGTTTGTGTTTTCAGGGAGTAAAGCAACGACGTACGGAGGAGCGCAATCTTGATCAATAGGATTATACGAGAACAATATTTCGTGCTCTCAATTTTTCTAACATTGTCATTAAGAAAAGTTCTGTGTTTGGCTATTATTAATTTCTCATCAAATAGTTCACATAATGGGGACAAATTCAGAAAATTACTTTGATGAGACACATAAAACATTTATCCATTCAAATTTTGTTTCTTAATATTTATGATTAGTGAGATACGCAATCAACTCTATTAATTAGATTTGGGTGCCTGCTGCACACCCAGTACAGCATGCACTGTTGTGTGGCTTTATAGGCTTATTTCAGAGTTCGTTTTGATAATTCGAATCGTTCACATTCTAAAACACATGGAGTATAACATACCTGCAAAAAATTAAGTTAATCGGGTATCGTTAACCTTTTCATCCACTTACGTTTATATTCATTTTAATACTTTAAATCACAATGTCATTTATTTTTGAAGATATAAATGTGAGTGGATGAAAGGGTTAACGATATTTGATTAATTTGATTTTTGGCAGGTATGTTCTACTCGATGTACTCTAAAATGTAAACGGTTCAGATTATCAAAATGGACCCCAAAATGAGCCCATAGGTGTTACCCAAAAAGCAACCTAAGAGGGGAGGTGAATTAGGGTTTTACAAATTAAAACTAATAATACCCCAATAAAATTAACTACTAGTACAACAAATTATTAACAAGCACAATGATGAACTTAGCAGTAAATGATCAAGCAAAGTAACATTGAAGTATAACTAACGAACATGGTTAATCAAATGATCAACACATAAATATTAGATAGATATAGCAGTAGTTGGAAAGTAAAGAGATTAGGGAAGAGGAGACAAACAGATTTATAGTGGTTCGGCTTCAACCAAGCCTACATCCACTCCTCAAGCTTTACTTGAGATTTTTCACTATCTTCTAGCTTCACAAGGTGCTAGCAACCTTTTCACAGATGGAGCAATCCTCTACAAATCTTACACAAACTTTCTAAGTCAAGAACACTAAGTGTACTACACTCTTACAAGGTTAAAAAGAATGTGTTTTTGCTTTCACAAAAAGCTACAATAATTATCTCTCAAAGATAGATATAAAAATGAAGTTCTGGTTTTTCTGTAAACCTCACACAGGAAAGATGAGTTTAATGCTATAAGGCTCAGTGTATAATTTCTGGGAGAGGATGTAAACAAAAATTGAAGAACACTTCTCAGAGAATTTTTCAGAGAATAGATGTGAGTGATTATAGATCAAAAAATATTTTCTGATTTTTTTTGTCACTTGTTTACATTAGAGGCTTTGGTATATATAATGAAACTTATAGCCGTTTATAGTCGTTGTATTCATTTGAATTTATAACCATTTATAGCCGTTGTACTCTATCATTACTAATTTGAATTTCTTCCACTCCATCATTACTAATTTAAATATCTTCCACTTAAACATTTTGAACTGCTGCTGTGCTGGGCTGTTTGAACCTCTGTTTTGAGCTATTTGAACTCCTGATTTAATCAAATATTAAATACATTCTAACAACATTTAGGATAATGGTTTAGGTGAGAAATAATGGGATAAAATAAACTTTGATTCTATTTTTCTCTTTCAAAATAAATGTTGATTCTATTTTTCTTTTTCAAAATAAATGTTGATTCTATTTTTCTCTTTCAAATAAATCATCAAAATAAATTTTGATTCTATTTTTCTCGTCCAAATAAATTAAAAACATAATTAAATAAATCATCAAAATAAATAAGTCTAATAGGCCACACATCAGTGTCTGCTATGCTGGGGGCACAAGAGGCACTCCAAATCCATTAATGCTATGTACGAACAATAATAAGTTTACTCAATGACAGAGTTAGAAAATTAAATCAAATGGAACACTTATTAATTACAATATTAAAAAATTTTATAAAAATATTTCACATATATTTTTACAATTGTCTCCAAGAAAGATTAAAAAAAAAAATTATTATTTGTATTTAGTGTATCATGGACAATATAAAAAAAGTCATGGATATAATTTTTAAAATAAATTATATAATGATAAAGTAATTTTTTTATACAAAATTTGAGTAAAATTCAATATAATAATAATATCATGTTATCATTCATATGTAATATCACTAATCAATAATAAGGAAACATATTGAGGATGAACTCCACATGTCAAATATAACCAACAATCCAATAAATTCCATATCTTCATTGAGATTAATTATGTTTATATGTCAATAATGATAGATATCACCATTGCATTGAAATTTTCACAAATAATAATATAACTTGTCATAGTCTCTTCATTCTCAATCAAAACAACCATTATTGTTCTCATAAATTTAAAAATATCATTAATATTTTACTCTAAATAATATTTTTGTAAATTTTTTTATTTAAAATATTTTCTTTATGTTGTAAAAAAATAAAATAAAATCCAAAAATGGCACGTGATCCCCTAGTCCCTCTATACCCCGTCCTTGCTTTTAGGCCATGTTTGTTTGGACGGACTGGATTAGGTTGGATTAGCATTCCCATGACTAATAGTCCTAGGACTACGAATCATTTGGATTATGTATCCTATCTTATGTTTGGATTGAGTTAGGATTATAAGAAGGACTAATAGTCCAGACTTTGGTTTAGTCTTTCAATTTATATCACACCCCCTTCCGTGGGATTGAATAATTCATCATATGTGGGATACCATATCCAGTTGGATTGTTAGTCCGTACTTCAATTGTTTAACCAAACATCGGATTAATAATTTTATTAGACTATTAGTCCAATCCCAAACTTATGTCCACCCAAACAAACATGGCCTTAGTGTATTGAGAGTAAAGATTCGTATTGATTGTGTAAATTTTAGATTTTGTTTGCATTTATAGATTATAAATGTGGGGACAAAACCAAAAAAATTATTTACAGGGGGCCAAGGTAAATGTAGAAAAAAAAAATAAAGTTAATTTTTTAAGGATAAATTATACAAATGGTCCCTATAGTTTATATCATGTGTCAATTCGATCCCTATTATTTCAATTTATTCAATTTTGCCCCTTAATTTAAAAAATTGGGTTATATTAATAAAATAAATAACAACTGCTAGGTTTGGTAGACGGAAAGTCATCACGTGCTCAAGCGATGTGTCAACTTGATCCATGTAGCTTACATGATGTGTCAATTTGATCTATGTTGTTTCAATTTGTTCAATTTTGATAGGAATCAAATTGACACATTGTGTAAATTACATAGACCAAATTGACACATCATTTGACTTTTCGTCCACCAAACCTCATAACTATTATTTATTGGAGTAATATGACATAATCGGTTAAATTAAGGGACAAACTCGAACAAATTAAAATAAAATGGACTAAATTAAAATATCGTATAAATTACAGAGACTATTTACATAATTTACTCTCTTTTTTTAAGGAAAAAATTTATTACATAAGAGTTATGAAAAAGTTCAACAAAATAAATAAATGCATTTATGTAAGTGATTTCATAATATTTATCTCAATTATTTCATACAATTTTTGAGCTACATATATAATGAGGATTTTGTTGTGTAATTTTATTAGACGGTCATTTTAAGGTATTTTATTTGTTACACTGCAGGAAAGTAGGGATTTAACGGCGTTTAATTAACGGCGTTTTATTAAACGTCACGTTTTTAATTTTTAACGGCGTTTTATAATCGCTGTATATTTTTTTAACCAAAACGGCACCGTTTTGTAATTGAAGGCGTTTAGAAACGCCTCCGAATGCGGTGCATACACGGGCCCCTTTTTTAAACCCTTATTCTTGAATCTGAGCCCTTTCTCTCTCTCTTATACCCACACATCTCTCTTATCCTATACGCACACATCTCTCTCTCTCTCTCTCTCTCTCTCTCTCTCTCTCAACGGCGAAGAAGACGAATGAGAGTACTCTCGGAAGAAGCTTCGTCTCTCGAAAGATCAATCGGCTGTTCTTGAAGAGAGCTTCAAAGAACACAAGCTCCATCGGCTGTTCAAAGCGATTTCGAAGCGATTTCGAAGATTCAGATCGATATCAATCGGCTGTTCAGAGCGATTTCGAAGATTCAGAGCGGCATGTGCGTTGCTGAACTTGTCGTTGAACAACGAGAGCAAGATTTCGATCGGAGCTTGCGGAGCGATTCTGCCATTGATAACGCTGTTGATGAATGGATCGAATAGGGGGAAGACGGGCACGATGACGATGCTGTACAAGCTGTGTACGGTGAAGGTGAACAAGGAGAGGGCGGTGAAGGCATTATACTACTGTTATCTGGTAAGTAGTTGTATATGTTGTATTGTCAGTTCTAGCATTCACTTGATTCATTTGAGATTCATTTGATTTTGCTGTGATATCACTCCATTTCATTTGATTTTGCTGTGATTTTGCTTTGTTTCAAAAGCCATTTCATTTGATTTTGCTGTGATTTTGCTCTGTTTTAAAACTCTACCCTTCTTATTTAATATTTTTTAAAGCTTTTTTAATAATCAACAGAATTATAGAAGAATTGTAGTGATCTTATTGTTACAGATTATGCTTCTACACATTTAATATTCTTGGCTTTGTTGTTAATACGATGCTTTATATTATTACAATATGTGGTAAGATTATGTGAATTTAAGTATATTATTAGGACTTTCATGTATATCCATTGCATTGGCATAACTGGATGTTGCCCAACATGTTTTGAATTTAAGAACTATCCATTTTAAACTACTTGTTGCTGGAAACCTGTGGTTTTCTGATGGTAAATTTGAGAATGAAGTTTTGAGACTTGATCTCTCAACTGCAAGCTGTAAAAATTGCACTCAAATTTGTTTGGCTGCCAAAATTTTAGCGAGTTGGTAACACTATATGATAGTATCTATGACATGGTTTTTGGCAAAGTCAGTTTTGGGAAGTTTCTTCAAGGTAAATTGTATGGAAAACCATTCTTCCCTGCTATTGGTGATTCAATTCCTATATCATTTATAGAAAGAAGAGGTTCAGCAGAGTTTTCATGGATATAGTTGAATCCTCAGATGTATCCATAGTAGAATTTAGAAGTCTTGTGGTTGGTGGCCTTGAATGATATGTATAGATGGAACTGCACCAAGTGCTATCTTGGACTGGTGATAATAAATGCATAGATTGAACTACTTGGGCCTCATTTGGATGTAACTACTTTTTCAATTCTGAAACTACATCTGAGTGCCACCGAGAACTATGATGTTTGAATTTTTGCAGACAAAGGTATAGAACAGGAAGCAAAAAAGGGCACAGCATAATAAATTGAACTCTGGTTAGGCCCCAGTTACCCACAAATTAGAGATTTTTTTTTAAAATTTTTTTACAGTTAGACTAATTAATTTGTTAAAGTTAGACCCTATTAATATTTTTTTATAGATAAAATCATTAATAACATCAAAACAAATAATTTATATAATGAGTGAGAGATGAGAATCGAGAAATCATTGCACTGTAGTACCAGTCTTTGTCATTTCTGAGCGAAACAGAAATGATAGATTTTGTGTTGTAACTTGTGTGTATGATGTATATAGTGAATATGATCATCTATATTAGTTTAACATCATTCAACGACAAATAATTTATATGTATATTTAATATTTTTTATATATTTACATATGCAATTAGGTTTGCGGGGTTGCCTAGTGTCTTTGTCCACACCCGGCCCAAATTTATTTGGGCTTATAAACATTTTGCCCAGGTCTACTCATAATTCAAATATATATTGCCTATGGCCTAAAATTTTTTTGGTTGGGCTCGGGTTTCTCCAATTGGTCCCGCCCAAGTTGCACCCTATTGTAGAGTGCGGGCCTCATTTTAGAATGAATGCAGTGCTAACAGTGCTAATGCTAGTACTAAAGTAAGTTAAAGCTGAAGTGATTGTTGATATCCTCATGTTTATATTATCAGGCAGGGAAAGGTGGAGAGTTAACACATGATGAAACTACTATTATCTCTGGAGCTTTGGATTTAACACAAAAGACTACTAAAGATGCTATGACACCTTTATCTGAAATATTTTCCATTGATTTGAATTCTAAACTAGATGAGTACGCTGTAAAAAACTTACTTCGATCTCTGCATATATTTACACCATTTTCTACTTATAAGTTTATTTATGAGATGACATATATGTTTGGTTTGCTCCCCCAGGGATACAATGAGCTTGATAATGGGCAAAGGGCACAGTCGCATACCTGTCTATTCAGGAAGCCCATCAAATATTATAGGCCTTATTTTGGTAAGCATATGGTGGAACCTGTAACAACCTGTTTGTTTGTGTTCATATTTTTTATTCATTTTTGTTTTTTTGTGTTTTAAGAGAAAAAACAATGGAAATTAACTATTATGACATTTTCTATGATTGTTGGGTAAAAAATTTAATCAAATGCCGTGCTGAAGATGAAACACCAATCAGAATTCTTACCATCAGGAGAATTCCTAGGTACTAAATTTTATAAATGTATTTTGGTCTTGAATTTGCAAGCAATGCCATAAATATTTTCATTTTTTCTTATTTTTTTGTGCGTGATTTTATCTGTGAAAGGGTGGAGGATAGTTTACCACTGTATGATATACTGAACCAATTCCAAAAAGGGCACAGCCACATGGCTGCTGTTGTGAAGAGCAAGCACAATGTTAAGGACACTGCAGGAAATGCAACAGAAAAAAATGACATGATCATGATAAACATCAATTCAAACTCGTCAATACTACAAAAACAAGCAGAGGGAAAATGTAATTTCTTTCAATATTTTAGGTGCCTTACATTACAATCCAAAATTCCATTCACCTGATCATGTGACTGACATTGCATTGCGTACAAATTTCCCAGAATTTGGATATATTCAGTCTATTTATTAAAATAAAGTCCAATGGAACACAAGGAAACTTGTCGTTATATGTTGGTCATTGCTATTTCCTGTTATAATATATAGGAATTGAGATCAAGAAACAAAAGAGTGTTTCTACACATGCACCACCATCTGTGACTTCCAGCGACACTACTGAGAGTCAGAGTCCAGCATTACAGTACATAGTGGAGCGATGCAGTGACAGTTGGAACCTGTAACCAAAGAAAGGAGGTGAACAAGGAGATGCAAATAAAACAAAGGAAGTTTTGGAATCACTTCCAGATCAAGAGGAAGAAGTCATTGGTATCATTACTATGGAAGATGTTTTAGAGGAACTCTTACAGGTTAGTAATATATATAACTAATTAACTAGTATTAATAAATACTATGATGTACTTCATGCAAATGTTATTTTGTGTTCCATTATAGTTAATTAATATTGCTGCTTTAGATATAACTTATAGAAGTTAATTCTGTCCAAGTACACAAAACTAGCTTCAATATGAATGCTTTTCTTCCATATATGTGATAGGAAATTTCGTATATGTAAATATTAGATCAGTCCTTTCATATATGCTTTTCTTTCCGCAAGCCTTCTAGGTATCCTGATAAAATACCTAAAATTTTATTCACAAAAGAGAAAAAGAAAAAAAACAGTAATGGTTTGTGGTTCAAATTCTTTTTTAATTTAAACCTGACCATATCTAGACATGGCACTGTTTTTTCTGAGTTCTTTTTCTGGGTACATAGACTTAATGTGTTTTTTCTGTTGATGAACTAATATTTGTGTTTTGTTTTGAAGGAAGAAATACTAGATGAAACTGATGAATATGTTGATGTTCACAATAAGTGAGTTACAATTCCGCGTCTGCTAATTGATCATTTGGTTATGTTTTTGTGTCTATGGAAACCAAAAAAAATAAAATAAAAATGAGATGTTTAAAAAATACCTATCATTTTCATCATTTTTATATTTGTGAAAACAGTTTCCAAAAAGGACCTGTTTTCGGAAAAACAAGTTTTGTGTGTTCTGCAAAAAACAAAAGAAGAAAACACAACCAAAGAAAAAGTTTCAAGTGTAATATATTTCAGTTCTGTTAGTTACTAACTTATTGACTAATGATATACACCAATTTACTGTGTTTTGTATCAGAATTAAAATAAACATGCTTCCTACAAGGAAGTCACAATCAAGATCTCCAGGAGCACCTTCTCATAGAGCATGGCGAACGCCAAAAGCAACTCCACTATCTTCAGGTCATCAGACACCAGTTTCTTCTTATCATCACACTCTGATACTATGGTCCCCAATTTCACCCTTTGTTCAGTCTCCATTTATACGACCAACTCTCTCTGCTTCCCCGGCTAAATCTACACCAAATTCTCCATCCATTTGCACCTCTCCATCCTCACATCAGGTATGTCTAAATTTTCAATACAATTACTGCTTCATTGCTCTCGAGTAATATGTTTCTCATTCAATTTTCTGATATGTACTGCTCATGTCTGAGATTAGAGGAAAGGAGTGGCCTGGTTGAATTCTTTTTCATCTCTTGTTAGGCAAATACTTGATGTGTTTAGCGTGTTATAATCTATGTATGGTGAAATTATCTTCCTTGAATAGCACTTCAATAATTTTCAAGATTTTATTGTTGGGTGAAAGAAATGAAGCTTTTGGGGTTTGAATATGACCAAAACTATGCATACCTTCTCCTCTTGCGGGACTTGTGTGGCTAGAAATTTCTCATTCATCTGATAACTCTCTATTTAGATAACTTGGCATGGAAGTTGTAACTGTTTCTAGCTCTGCTTCGAGGACTACACTGGGATTGAGTGCATCACTTTCATCTTACCGATCTCCATTTAAAAAACCATTAATTAAAGTGCTTGAACTGGTAGAGAATGTTGGTGCTACCAGTGATCTTTCAGGAAAAGCAAGACTGTTTTTGGTTCTTCCTGTGGCACTCTTGGATGCTTTCTTCATTCTTTGGATATTTACCTCCCTCTCTGTAACTCTGAATAAGCTTCAGGTATATTTAGTTATATTATTATTGTTTTACGAAAAAACCTTTTGATCATGTTCATTGTGTGGTCCTTTGACAATACCATGCTATGCTAGCAAAGATTCAAATATTAATTAGTTTTTTTGGAACTGCAAGCTCATACTTCTATATTTGGGCTTAATGTGTTGCATATCTAGCTAACAATAGGAGTCAAACATTTTTGTTTATTAGTCTATATATCAGATGGTATTTTAATCAGGTTAAACATACTCTATAGGAAGAAAAAAAAAAGCAAAAACAAAAAATAAAAATGTGAAGATAAGTTCTATTTAATAATTAATTGTCAATTATTTTCTTGTCTCCACATTGAATATTTTCACATGTGGCAGCTATACTTACTCGGGAGAAGCAAGTGAAGAGTTTGACAGGGATGATAATACTTTGACACTCATAAAACCATCTCCTATGCCTTCAAAGGATATTCGAAGTCCACTTGAAGTCGGATCAGTACACGGTGGAAAGTACATGGTGGAAACAACGGGGTATCAAACGGTGATTTGGAAGAAGACAAGACAGAATAATTTGAAACCCAACTTTGTTTGATTGTGAGAAGCTATGTAACTCTGAATGATCATCATGATGGATATGAAGTTGCCACATGTAGAATTTATGTGAGTGGAGAGGGAAAAAGCCATTGGAGGGAATATGATGAAGCTTTTTTTATTTGTTCTTGTTCTTATACTTTTTTCCCCCCTCTAATTCTTTTTATCTTGTTTAATTAAATTATAGCGTACTGTATGGTTCCAAATGTATCATCTGTTGCATATAGTTTAGGCTCAACTTTGGATATAGTTGGAAGACAAGTGGTATTTTTAATATTATAAGCCATATTAGTGTGCTTTCTATTCATTTTTAATTTTTTTGGGCAAATTGCACTTCTAGACCATTTTTGATTTTAATTGATGCATTTAAAGTCTGAATTGTTTCTATTCTTAGGTATGTAATGCATTGTTTTTTATTTTTAATTTTGTTTTCAAGCTTAGTTTTATTTATAATTTTAATAAACATTAATTATTAGTTCTTAATAATTGTTTGACAGGTATTTTTTTTGTTCAACCATATAAAATTAACAAAATCTAAAAATTAAAAAAAAGGTTATGGCGGCGTTTAAAAAATGTCACTATATCCCATCCCAACGGTAAGATTTTTAAAATGTATAAATGTTTATGACGGCGTTTTCAACAACGTCGCTAAATGTTAGAGTGACGTCACAGTACAGTTAGGTAAGACATTTGGCAGCGTTTCTAAAAACGCTGCCTATACTAATATAACGACGTTTTTTAAACGCCATAGAGTTATAGCGACGGTCGCGTCATCGGCGTTTGGTACTAAACGTCATAAAAAGAATTAGCGACATTTTTAGTACTTTTAGCGGCGTTTTTTAAATGCCGCTAAACGTGGATTTTCCAACAGTGTTAATATAACTTATATAAATAAAAAATATTTTTTTTGAGTTTTTTATAACAAAAAATAAGAAATGATGTTTGCATATCAAATCAATAAAATTGATGGTATTGCATAATTTGTGAAATAGTTAGGTATCATGTCATAAACATTGTAAAACTACTCATGAAATAGAAGAACAATAAAAGAATTTTGAAAACTTGAGAGGGCCATACTAAAATTATTCATAAATTTAACATTACTCATTTTATTGACATTATATGTATAAATGAAAGGATTTGACATTATTCATTTAAGTTGAATAACTCAAATTTAAATTTTACATTTTATAGATTTTAAATTTGAATTTGAGAATCTTGTTGAGTTGAATTTTACATTTGAATTATTATTATAAAGAGAAATTTAAATTGTCATAATAACTAAGATACATTTTTAAATTATGTATGGTATATATGAATTGTCATTAATAACTTGGACAATTCATTGTACATGCATGGTTGGATTGAGCGTTTCTTCTCTAATGCCAAATATCAAGTTGTTTTAAGTTTAATTCAAAGTTTTCAAAGAAATACAACATTTTGGATTGCATATTAATCTTTTATATAATTAGTGATAGTACAAAAAACATTATTCTGTTAATATAAAGGTTACTATTAAAGTGCATACTAACATTTTGATGCATTGCATTATCATTTCTCTAATATAAAATGTCATTTTCATAACCTTGATGGGACAATATCACTCTTTGTAATAACCATTGATTGTGATAATTGTTTTAGCAATATAATTGTTAGCATGAATGAAATGATTATACAGACAAATTAATTAGCCATTGTTAGTCTTCAAAACTTTTCCCCTATGTTTGGTTTTGAGTTTTCAAATATACTATTTAAGTTTTTGAATTTTTTATTTTCTATATTTTTGTGTCTTTATTTAGTGGACTTTCTTAATATTTTGATCAAAATTTTGTTACTTTTTAAATGTACCTGACCTAGATGCACTTAAAAAGTAAAAATATTTATGAAAAAATCTTTTAAAAAAATTACTAAATATAAAAAATTAGCCAAAAGAAATTAGTATATTTTTGTATTTTTTTTAATTTCTCCACAAATATTTCATTTTTAGGTACATCTAAAAAATAAAACAAATTTAACAAAAAAATGAAAAAGTTTACCAAAAAAATTGTATTTGAAACCTTAAAACTAAACGGATTTGTCTTATTTGATTCATAGCTATTAATTTTGCTTCGAACTTTTTATACCTTGTGATCTTTATATGATTCGATAACTACGAGTGAAATAAGACAGAAAATAAACAAATTTTTTAGAGACAAAATGTTTAACTATAGCGATCCCGGTTTCCCTTTTCTTTAATTGTTGTATCCGGACTTAGGTTCCGTGGAGTTGGTCGTTGTGTATATCTTGTTTACATCCTTTACTTTTTGTATTTGAGTCTTGGGTTGTGTTGGGCAGGTTTGAAACAGGTTGGTTGAGCTTAGAAACCAAAACTAGTTGCCCAGATTTTGGCCTGTCCGCTCGAGCGGAGCTTTTGACGCTTGAGCGGGGCCTTTGTTGTTGCTTCTCCGCTCGAGTGGGGGTTTTGGCGCTCGAGCGGGAAAATCACCCATCCAGTATCTCCTCTGCAGTGGTGGACGCTCGAGCGGGAGTTTGGACGCTCGAACGGGAGTTTGTGTGTGACGCTCGAGCGGGGACCTGGCTCTACAAAAGTGCTGGGAGTGTGTATCCGGCGCTCGAGCGGCAGTTTGGACGCTCGAGCGTGAGTCTGTGAGTGACGCTCGAGCGGGGCGATTGGGTTAAGTCTCCGAGATCCGGATTTTTGAATCACTTTTTCACATCCTTTTCTCTCTCTTACTTTTCCAGAACTCCATTGTTGAGCCTCTCTCTCTAGAACCTTGCCTTCTCTCTAGGTATTGATATAGTAGGAGTTGTTTCCTCACCTTTGGCCTTTGTAAAAAAGTCGTTGATCGTCGAGGGCTATCTTTTGATCCAAGAATCTTGGGATTTGGAGCATTTTCATTTTCGTCATCTTCTTCCCTTTGGCTCCGAATTTGAGGTAGGGATTCCTACTCACTCTTACGGTCTTTGACATAGATTTTTGGTTGTTTTGATAAAGTGTTGTGGTTGGGTAATTTTGGGACTTAGGGTTTCAAAATGTTAAAGGAGGGTTTTGTTATTTTGATTCTAAAATGTGTATTTTGGGTTTCAAAATAATGATATTGTTGTTAGTTGTTGATATTTGAATCATTGGGTTGATATTGGGAAATGGGGTAGAAAACCCTAATTTGTCGTACAAATTAATTGGTGTAATTAATTTGGGAATATTGTTGTTATTTGGAATTGAGTTGGAAATAATGAAATTGGCTCAT